GCGGGGTGGGGGGCAGAGAGAGAAGGGGACAGAGGATCCGAAGTAGGCTCTGTGCTGACAGCAGAAAGCCCCATGTGGGGCTCAAGCTCCCAAACCATGAGATCATGACCTAAGCTGAAGTCGGATGCTCAACCGACTGAGCCCCCCAGGCGCCCTGGCTTTGAGACATTTCTTAAAAGGTTTTATATCTTTGTGATGGAAAAAGGGGAACTCCTGTGCACTGTTAATGGAATGTAAATTGGTGCAGCCACTATGAAAAACACTATGAAGATTCCACAAAAAACTGAAAATAGAATTACCACAGGATCCAGTAATTCTATTGCTGGATGTTTACCCAAAGAAAATGAAAACACAAATTGGAAAAGATATATGCATGTCTGTGTTTACTGTAGCATTATTTACAATAGCCAAGATATGTAGCCCAAGTGTCCACTAATGAATGGTTAAAGAATATATATAAGTGAAATATACAACATATACAATGAAATATTACTCAGCTGTAAAAAGGAATGAGATCTTGCCAGTCCCAACAACAAGGATGGACCTAGAGGGTCTTATCCTAAGTGAAATAAGTCAGACAGGAAGACAAATACCATATGATTTCACTTACATGTAGAGTTTAAAAAACAAAACAAATGAACAAACAAAAAATAGAAGCATACTCATAAATACAGAGAACTGGTGGTTGCCAGAGGGGAGGGATGTTGAAAGGATGGACAAAATAGGTAAAGGGGATTAAGAGATACAAATTTCCACTTATAAAATAAATAAGTCATGGCAATGAAAAGTACAGCATAGGGAATATAGTCAATAATACTGCCACAACTTTGTAAGGAGGCACATGGTAACTATACTTACTGCGGTAACCACTGCTTAAGGTACAGACTTGTTGAATCACTATGCTATACACCTGAAACTAATGTAACACTGTATGTCTGCTATACTACAACAAAAAATAATTTTAAAAAAGATATCATACCTTCAAAATATAGGGAACCTGATTATGTAGTAAATAAAATTAAAATGTGTGTTATCTTTACCCTATGGAAGCATAACAATAAAATCTTGTATTTTTTAATTTTTAAAAAAATTTTAATGTTTATTTTTGAGAGAGAGAGAGAGAGACAGAGCGTGTCTCAGAGAGAGACAGGGGAGGGGCAGACAGAGAGGGAGATGCAGAATCTGAAGCAGGCTCCAGGCTCTGAGCTGTTAGCACAGAGCCTGATGCGGGGCTGGAATTCACGAGCTGTGACATCACGACCTGAGTCAAAGTTGGACGCTTAACCAATTGAGCCACCCAGGCACCCCAACAATAAAATCTTTTATTCAAACTCCCTCACAAAGGTGAGTTTGGGTTCCATTTGTCCAATAAACACAACTCCACATAAATTATCTTAAAACAGAATTAAGAAGGCACTCATAATAGCTGCAGAAGCTTAACTATGCTGGAGACAGGCCTTGTTTACCTTGGGGCCAATTCTACCTTAACCTTGTCCCTAAAGTACCCAGTGCAGTTACAAGAGAAGAATTTGCCACATGGCTCATAGGGCCCCACTCCTCCACTGTTCCGGGGTTCCAGCGTTCCAGGGTTCCTCTGCTGGCCACATCCCTACTCTGCACCCCATGGGCAGAAGGGCCCACGGGGAGGCAGCTTGCGGAAAGCAGAGGGCACCGAGCTGTGCAGTGGATGTCTGTCTAGAGTCACACAGGCAGCTAACTACCACCTCAGGCTCCTTACTCACTTTCCCTTGGCACAGTTAACCCACAAATCAGGCTTGTTGAGACAACACCAGTTCCTCTTTCTAGTTCTCCTTTTATCCTCCACAAAGCCACGCCAGAGCTCCCTCTGGCCTCTGCTGACTCATGAGGGCCAGTCTCCTACTCTACCCCAATCCCACTCTTGGCCTCAGATCAAAGCGTACCCTCGGAGTTATTCAAGTTGGACTTTCTGGTTTTCTATTTGCAAAATGTTCTCTGTATTTGTCTTCTCAAACACACACCGCAACAAATGTCAAAAAAGGTGTCTTAGCCCTCCTTTATTCAATCCTCTCTCCATACCTCTGGAATATGTTTTTTCTCAGAGCCTCAATTTCACTCCATCTGGCCCATCCTCTCCCATTCCACCCCTCCCCCGCTGCCTAAGTGCAGCAGCACCACCAGAACCTAAGGTAATACAGGGTTCTCCTTCACATCTCTGAGCCTCAAACCTCCCTTCCATGCAATCATCAGCACATCCCCTGCTTAGCTGCATTTACATGACATTAGACCAAGGCGGAGGGAGGCTACTTTTAATACAACACTCTGGGTAGCTTTTGTGGGTACTGAGGTAGGGGTAGGGGTGTGGGTGTGCTGGGAGCTATTTAGAGCCACAGACTAGCAAGACAAGTTTCAATATCTATAGCAAATACATATTAATATATAGGCTCAAGGTTTAGTTGTTTAACATTTCAGTTATTTGTTTTGGTTTGGTTTTCTGCTTTGGGCTCTGCACCAATAAATCATTGTCGTAACAAATGACTCTGAGAGTTTCCAAAAGCTTCCTGGCCAACTAAATTAAGACAGTGCCACTTCGCAAAGTGATAAATAAGTGTCTTCTAAATACGGAGAATGAAAACCAACTACAAAGCAAATGTTAACTGAAATCATCGCTAGGGCCAAGTACTACACACAGTGTGTCCTTCAGGATTTAGGGCAAAAAAATTCAGGCTATACAGGCCCTTTTAAAAAACCCAAACAAAAAAAAATAATAAATAAAAATAAATAAATAAAAAACCCAAACATAACCTCACAAGGAAAAAAGAAAAGCACCCTATTTCCATCACCCCATCCCACTTCCTTCAAGTAGTCAATGTCAATGGTTTGCGGACAATGAGGCGTATGTGTGCCTGTATGCACCGTTAAGTATCTGCATATAAATCTTTTTCAAATGCCTTTTTCACTTAACTGTATCTTGATTCTCCCCAAGACAATGTATCAAAGTGGCTAACAGACACATTTACATTTATTCCATCTCTCCCTTTCCCTACAATGCAATTGCTAAATCAAGACTTACTATCAAAAGAAGTAAAACAAAAAATCCTGTCTGCCTAAAACTAAATTTATCTTTGGTCATTTTCATGTACTTACACTTGCCTTCAACCTAAAAATGGTGAGAAATGGGTAAATATATTTGCATTAATATGCCTGCAATATAAATATTGATCTTACATAGAGCTGTTACCATGGAATACACGTACATTGAAATGTAGCTAATTTTCAAAGGCAGAAAGCAAACGAGGGCACCCGCTTAGGTGGTGAGGCCCAATGGGTCCTGAATAAGGAGGCACACGTTGTGGAAACTTCCCAGGCTTTGGAGCCAGAAACATGGAGTCAAACCTAATTCCACCCCTCACCGATTATGTGGTTTGTGTACATTCTTTAACTCTTCTCAGCTTCCTTTTCGTCACTCACAATGCTGGGGAAAAGACTCATCTCTCAGAGATCTAGAAATTAAGTGTGTAAGATTGTGTTTTGAACATAGTGAAGTGCTCAAAAAATGCCTTATTACTGTCAACAATCCAGATAGACTTGGCGATCCAATACCTTGTACCACCGAACACATGCAAACCTTGCTGTTCTATCTTTGTGTTTTAGTTTGCCTTATTTGTATAGAAACAGAGCCTAAATTACTGTAAACATGCCTAGTAGCTTTAATGCCTTATTGAAACAGGATCCTCTGTCCTACTCCCCCAGTGTCATGCACTGGGCTAAACAGCAATGTCCCAGCCTCCTCCTAAGCAATCCTAAATTTCACTTCCAACCTGTGATAAACACAAGCCATCTGACTATCACTAAATAACTGAAAATATCTTGCATGTCTGCTAATGACCAGCAGCTTAAGGTGTCAAAAGTCAATCTTCCCAATGACTAGGGTTCCTATCCTCTCCTTTTAGTTAACAAACCATCGATGATGCATACACCTTTAGCTGGCTAGCTCCCAGTGTCTTAGGGAAGGGATGCCCTCCAGACAGCAGGAATCTACTAAATACACATATGTTGTTGGTTAACTGTCCACCCACCCCTTATATCCATCTATATTGAAAAGGCTGGATTTCCACAAAATCCTGAACTTCTAGAACAATTAAAGGCAAACCTGGCCACCATACCATCCAACCATCTCCTTCTACATGTGAAAAAAACTGAGGCTGGGGAAGATGTGATGTGCCCAAGGACATACAACTATGTAGACACCAATAGGAATTAGAAACTCAACGCCTTAATTTAAGGTTTTTTCTTACAACAATTAGGCAGGGTTTTTTTCTGCTCCAGGAACTCTGTAAGATGTTTACTAAATATTTTTGGATGAAAAGGAAATGTTTGTGGCTGTGAATGTGTATGGGAGAGGCAAAATGCACCGTGTACCTGCCTTAAGGGTAATTAACCCACCGGTCTCTCTACGTGGGGAAGAGGTAGATGAAGGGGTAAGTTGCGTTTGAAATTTTTCAGTATCCTACTTAAATTTAACAGCGAGCTATGTAGGGAATAAATAGGACCGAGAAAGGCTAGTAACCCCCATTAGCACCTCCAAGAGCTCTAGGGACATGTTACACCATGTTAGACTTTAGTTAAGTAAAGAAGCAGGAGGTGGTAGCAGGCCTGGGGTGGGGTGCGAGGGGGGGGGGCGGGGGAGGTATATTTTTGTATTTTTTCACCTGGGGAATCAGACGCTGTCAATTTCCTCCCCGCACACGGGCGGCCACGTTCTTTCACTGGGGCCGTCTGGAGGTTCTCGCCTCCTCCTTTCCCCCAAGGATGTTTATGGCAAGGGCGCCGGTGGGAGCGGGCGGAGAATGGCCTGGCCTTCGGGGCCCAGCCCTCTGCCTGCACCCCCACCCCCACCCCCTGCTGCTGCCTGCGCCCGGCTAGGGCTCCCTCCGGCAGCGCCTTTGTTTTCCCTACTCCAGTTACGTTTGCGGAAGTGCTGCCCGCGCCGGGCGCCGGGGGTGCCGGCTGCTGCCTCCCCAGCGCCCTATAAAGATGACAGCCGACACAGAAGCCGAGGGGAGGGAGCGACGGGCAAGCGGGACTGGGAACCGAGACACCCACACCGGCCCGCCCCGGGAGCAGCGCCCCCGAGGCCCCCTTCCCCCGACAGCAGGTGTGCGCGCGCCGGAGGGGGGCTCTCCGCCCTCAGGCCCGGCCCCGCAGGGGAAAGCATGGGTGGGGCTGCTGGGCCGCCCCCGCCGACCGCCCCCTCCCCGCGCACCGGGCCCCGACTCACCTGCTGCGGGCGGCGCTGGCGTTCAGCTGCGCGGGGCGCGGGGAGCCATCTCCCCCCGGCGCGGGGCGGCGGCTCGGGGCGCCGGGGCGGCGGCTGTCGGGGCGTCGCGCACCATCTCGGGCGGGTCGCTGGCTCCTCGGGGGCTGCGGCGGACGGGGCGCGGCCGAGGATGCGGGCCGATTGCGGCGACCCGCAGCGGCGAACCGAGCGCACCCTCCGGGGCGACCTTTCCTCCTGCTCCTCCACGACCGGGTGCCTCCGCCGCTGGCTACCAGCTGGACCCGCTTCAGGGCTGAGCGCCGAGCACCCGCCGCCAGGTGCAGCGCTCCGCCTCCTGCGGCGGCGGCGGATGCGTCGGCGGCCGCTCCTCCCGGCCTCCCGCCCGCCCCGCCGGCCCCGGGGGACCCCCGGAACCAGCCTTGCCGGGGAAGCGCGCGGGGCTGGGGAAAGCAGACGCAGGTTCTATCCCCGCACCCCAGCCGACCCCACCCCGCCCCGGCTCCCTCCCCAGGCTAGTGATGCAGGCCTCGCTCCCGCGGGAGGGTGCGGGGAGGAGATGGCGGCCTGCTTGGGAATCTACATCCTTGGCGTTTATTGAGCGCTTATTAAGCGCAGACACAGTGCTGACGCTCTTAGGGAGCTATCTCAGAGCCTCTGGTCCCGAGCGTGGCAGACTGTCCTCAGTTGACCAGGGAGAGAGGAAGGGGGCAGGGGACTGGAGGCAAACGGCGTGGGTTCCTGGACTCGCGGGGGTAGGATACACCGGAGCTACATCAGCGTTTCAAATTGGGAAGGTGTTACCGAGTATCTGGCGCGTTGCTGAAGGAGGTAACCGCGCGTGTCGCACTAAGAACGTAATGCAAGTTGTATTTCTGGTTAGACCCGCTGGGAAGGTGGGGAGAGTGGAGTGGTTGTAAAAGGTAGCATTCCCTCTGTAAGTATTTTTGTGAGCCCGTGATGGGCTCTGGGGGTGCCACATAGCGTTCTCAGGGAGCTTCTGGTCTTGTCCTGGCAATAAACAGCAACGATAATGGCAACTTACATTTATGAACATTTCTAATATATGAAACACTGTTTAAGGGCCATTTAACCTTACCATAGTCCTAAAGGTACAGATAGTACTATTACTTAGAACTGATAAAACCGAGGCTGAAATTTAATGTGACCTGTCCAAAAATCACTAAATAAAAGGGAGAGAAGTCTTCTTTCATTTCCAGGATTTAACCACGAAATCCTATTGATGAGAAATGATGAGAAACTTTGGGGTTTGAGGTCCCTATTTAGAGATAAATTAATGAAACAAAATTACGAATGCAAAGTCACTGTAGCCCCTCCTGGACCCCAGGAAGTGTTCTGAAGCCTAAGCGACATTAGCCTCATGATAAATATAGTTGCAGTACTTTTGCAGAAAAGCAAAACAGTTAAAGGCAGTGAATGCTGAAATTTCAAATGAAAGAGATTAGGTGGTTGTTAGAGAATGAGATATTTGGGTCTAGCATGGCCTTTAGACAGCTTCCTACTGCATTATTGGAACGGACAGCTCACAAAGTATCCAGTTGGTAGCTATCGTGATAGAATTACCATCCTCTTCTGTCTAGCTATTAAAGAAGCAACCTTAAAAAGTGGGGAGAGGAAAGTGAACAGATTCCACATCTAACACCGTTCACGTTCTCTGCTACATATGGAAGGAGGGGGAAAGGAGAACAGGAACAAATTGTAGGAAAATAGGGTAGTTCTTAAACCAAAGATGCTCAAAGGCAGGTCCATGTTGAAAAGTGAAGCCAAATCATCCTAGAGATGTAAGCTGGTGTTTCTATTTCAAATAGGACGGGATAGCCTCAAGGGTCAGCATAGCAGAAAATCTTGTTTTCATTGGCCCTGTCTGGGCAGGATTTTTTTTTCCTGGCAGCCCCTTCCTTTTTTCAGTATAAGATGCACACATGCACCAAAGAAAAGTGATCTGCTACCCTTCATCTCCCTACCCCTGTGGGGTACTGAATGGGTGTGGTGGTTAGCTTCCAAGTGCACTGCCGGGTGGGCTATCCCTGAGGTCCCCGCACAGAAAGGTTCCCCAAATTAAGATGTTGATGTCATATGCTTTTTGAATCAATTTACAATACAGGGTAAGAAACCAGGGGGAAAAGAGAGGGTAGATTAACACACTTAGGATAGGGTACACGTGAGGTGGTATGTTTTATGAAATGTGCCTTTCTCTCCCCTTCTCTCCTTGATTCAGCCTTCCTTGTGTTGTTGGTGGGGTTACAAGGACCATCACTGAGGTGCAACAAGGGGACTTGACATATAGGAGATGCCTGGTGCCAGAGCCAACATATGCTTTCTGTACTGAGGCACAGGAACCAGGTGCCTGGCCACCGTTCCTGCTCACCATTTAGCCTGACCGGTAGCTGTGGCTTTTAACTGCATTTGTCAGGCAAAGAACAAGTGGAAGCCATGCAGGTATTACCAGTGAGTGGTGATTTTAGCCTTTTTAACCATTTTAATGTATTATTCCTAATATTGAGTGTCTCATGTGCTTCCTGAAGGTTTACTGCATCAAGAGTATTTGGTGCCTACTTGGACCTTCTATCCTTTCCTCTACGTTCAGTTCACATACATACTATGTACTTTCTCTCACAAACTATTTGCTTCTACTTCAGTTTTATATTTCCCCCTTATAATGTTTGTGTCTCCTATTTCCTTTGGCAGAATTTATTCTTTTTTTTTTTTTTAAAGGTTTTTTTTTTTTCCAACATTTTATTTATTTTTGGGACAGAGAGAGACAGAGCATGAACGGGGGAGAGGCAGAGAGAGAGGGAGACACAGAATTGGAAACAGGCTCCAGGCTCTGAGCCATCAGCCCAGAGCCCGACGCGGGGCTCGAACTCACGAGCGCGAGATCGTGACCTGGCTGAAGTCGGACACTTAACCGACTGCGCCACCCAGGCGCCCCCAGAATTTATTCTTAAATAACAAAGCAAACACATCACTATATGTGATAATAATAATAATAGCTAATACAGGACTTACCCTGATGCCAGGCACTTTCCATATATTCATTCATTTAATTCTTACAAGAGTCACATACAAGTAGCTACTGTTATTATCCCATTTTACAAATGAGAAAACCGGTGCCTGTAAAAGTTAAGTGACTTGACCAAGGTCACACCATTAAGTGGTGGAATCCACATGCAAACCAAGGTCATCCAGCTTCAGGGCCCCGGCTCTTAACCAGACCTTCTTCTTCACTCTTAGAAATATTTAGAAATACCTATATTCACATGTGGAGGGTTGGGGGTTTTACATACATGCAAATGGTATCATCTGCTTTTCTCTGTCCACCTGTTAGCATCATTGGACACAACAGTAGTCCCCCTTATCAGCGGTTTTGCTTTCCTGAGTTTCCATTACCCGAGGTCTAACCAAGGTCTGGAAGCACATGATCCTTAATAGTAGCCTATGGTACGTTGCAACGCCTACATCATTCACCTCACTCTGTCTCCTCACTTAGGCATTTTATCATCTCTCATCATCCCAAGAAGGGTGAGTACCATCCAATATTTTGAAAGAGACACCACATTCACATAACTTTTATTACAGTATACTGCTCTAATTGTTCCATTTTAGTATTGGTTAATGTTTTTTATCTCTTACTGTGCTTAATTTATGAATTAAACTTTATCACAAATTTGTATGCATCGGAAAAAACAGAGTATAGAGTTTGGTACTATCTGCGCTTTTTTTTTCACCACTTTTTTTTTAAGTTTATTTATTTTGAGAGAGAGGGAGAGTAAGGGAGAGAGAGAACCCTAAGCAGGCTGTGTGCTGTTAGCACAGAGCCAGATATGGGGCTCTATCCCATGAACCGGGAGATCATGACCTGAGCCTAAATCAAGAGTCAGATGCTTAGTTGACTGAGCCACCCAGGGCCCCCATCTGTTTTTCAAGCATCCATTCAGGGTCTCAAAGTTTATCCCCTGTCGATAAGAGAGGACCTACTGCATTGACTATTCCCTCCTTGAAACTCTCCCTTCCTCTGATTTTTGTGACCCACATCCCCTGGGTTTTTCTTTTCCTCTTTAGCCACTCCCCTTTGTATACAATACCTGTCTTTTGTTCTAGGCCTTTCTTTCTTCTGTTTTTTGTTTTTGTTTTTGTTTTTGTTTTTTCCCTGTGCTTGCTCTTCCCTATTCTTCTCTGGTGCAGCTTTTCTCCTGAGTGCCAGATCCATGTGGCCAGTTGTCCAGTAGGTTGTTTCACAGGCCCTGAGTCCCACATCAGCCCTTCGTTGGCTTCTGCCCCTCCCCACTCACTCTTACTTGTGGATTCCCAAATGGTCATCCACCCAGTTGTACAGGTGCCTCATACTTGACGCCCCTTTCACCCTTACCCTCATACTCACTGTATTCGTTTCTTATTGCTGCGATACTAAATTACCACACACTTAGCAGATCAAAGCAGCACAAATTTACTGTCTTATAGTCTAGAAGTCTGAAGTCCAAAATGGGTGTTACTGAACTAAAATCAAGGTGTCTTCAAGTGTCTTCCATCTGTAGACTTTACAGAAGAACCCTCTGCTTTACCTTTGCAGATTCTCAAGGTTGCTCACATTCCTTGGCTTGTGGAGGGAGCCTTCCTTCCATCTTCAGAGCCCCCCACTCTAACTTCTGCTTCAGTTGTGACATTGCTTCCTGGCTCTGACCTTCCATGCCTCCTTCCTTTAAGGATCCTTGTGATGACACTGGGTTCATCCTGGTAAGCAGGATAGTCTTCTCCTATCAAGAGCCTTAACTTTTTTGTTTTTTGAGTTTTTCTTTAAATTCCAGTTAGTTAACATACAGAGTAATGTTAGCTTCAGGTGTAGGATTTAGTGATTTATCACTGGCATATAGCACCCAGTACAAGTGCCCTCCTTATTACTTATCACCCATTTGGCCCATCCCCCACCCACGTCCCTTCTGGTAACCATCAGTTTCTTCTCTACAGTTAAGAGTCTATTTTTAAGAGCCTTAACTTAATCACATCTGCAAATTCCTTTTGGCCTTGTAAGGTGACATATTCACAGGTTCCTGGGATGAGGACGTTGGCATCCCTAGGGGGCAATGACTTTGCCTGCCACACCCAGTCAACACCAAGCCCTCTGGAGACCATCTTTCAGAATATCTCAGGAATTTGTCTTCTGTTTTCTGTCCCTGTTTTAAGCTCATCCATGGGTTCTCTCCTCTACCTTATAATCACCATTTATTGGGCCTCTTTGCTTTAATGTGTGCTCTCATCCAATCAGTTTTCCTATTGCAACCCAAATAATGTTTAAGAACATCTGACCTATGTCACTTCTTTGCAGTCCCACTGTGCTGCGTAATACCATGGGAGACCACTCATATTGTGTCAGGCCTCCTGGATGTGCTACCAGCAGACCTTACTCCTCTACTTAAATCCCATCCAAAGTCCCTTGACTATAACAAAGAGATTCAAAATTCTAGTAGTTAAATATGATTAAATTTTTTTTTCTCATGTAACCATCTATAAGTAGGCAGGCCAAGGTTATTAGTGTGTCCCCACCATCCATATAACACATGGATTCCATCTCTCCAAGGTGACTCCTTTAGGTCCCACCATTCCCAGTACATGGGATGGGGAAGCATAAGCCCAGTCACTTAAAGGGAAGCCCCAGTGTTTGTACACATCGTATCCATGCATTTCCCCTTGGCGGAAATGGTCACATATCTACATCTAGGTGCAAAGGAGGGAAGTCTAGTTTAGCTGAGCAGCCATATGCACAGCTAAATTCTATTACTACAAAAGAAACGGTGAGTAGATTTGGGAAGTCAACGAGCAGTCTTGCACAGGCAGGAAAACAAGGTACTATGCAAAAGGAAAATGGAGGGGTATAATTTAGATTGGAGGATATGAAAGTCCTCTGAGGAAGTAGTAAACTAAGACCTGAGGAGAGGGCCGGGAAGAGTTCTGGGCAGACCTTGCCCCACAGAATGGGCAGCTCTGAGGCAGCAAAGAGTTCAGCTTTGGTGTTTATAGCAGCACTTTCAACGATAGCCAAATTATGGAAAGAGCCTAAATGTCCATCAACTGATGAATGAATAAAGAAATTGTGATGTATATACACAATGGAATACTACTTGGCAATGAGAAAGAATGAAATGTGGCCTTTTGTAGCAACGTGGATGGAACTGGAGAGTGTGATGCTAAATGAAATAAGTCATACAGAGAAAGACAGATACCATATGGTTTCACTCTTATGTGGATCCTGAGAAACTTAACAGAAGACCATGGGGGAGGGGAAGGAAAAAAAAAGTTAGGGAGAGAGCCAAACCATAAGAGACTCTTAAAAACTGAGAATAAACTGAAGGTTGATGGGGAGTGGGAGGGAGGGGAGGATGGGTGATGGGCATTGAGGAGGGCACCTGTTGGGATGAGCACTGGGTGTTGTATGGAAACCAATTTGACAATAAATTTCATATTAAAAAAAAAAGTGAGTGGGGAGCTAAAGGTAAATGTCAAGAGATTAGGTTGGAAAAGTTGGCCCAGGCAGTTTAGGCAGAAACCTGTGCCTCCTGTTAAGCATTTTGGATTTCAATTTACATTCAATGGGATCCATTGAGGGACATTTAAGAGGTCTGACTTGTACCTTTAAAAGATCCGGAAGTGGCTATTAGGTGAAGAATGGGACTGAGAGGACAGAAGAAGTGAGACTCATTTAGAACACAGCCATTGGTGAGAAGAGAGATTAACAGTAGTTTAGAGCAGAGTGGTAGCGATGGGGCTGGAGAAAGTGGATGGATTTGAGACAGAGTGTTTGGAAATGTATCAGCACACTTGGTGATGTTTTGGGTGTGGGAGGCAAGGGAAAGGAGGCGGCAAGAATGACTCACAAGTTTCTGGCTCTCGCAAACTGGGTGGATGGTGATAACCTTTACTGAGAGGGAGAAGACTGTGGGAGGAGCGGGTTGGAGGGAAGAAAAGAAGAGTTCACATTTTGGCATACTGCATTGAGATGCTTGTAAGACATGCAGGTGGAACTGTGAAGTAGGCAATTAAATATGAGTCTAAAGCTCAAAAGAGAGGGCTGGACTCAGCAGGTATCAGCACTGAGGTGCTGTGTATAATCATGGGAATGAAGGGGATCACCCGGAGAGAGAATATATGCGAGAATCTTTGGAAAAGTCAGTTGGTGTGGGAGGAGGGACAAAGAAGGATCAGCCATAGAAGGAGGAGGAAATTCAGAAGGGTATTGTCACTGAAGCCTAGAGAAGTTTTTTTTTAAGCAGGATTGAGTAGATACCACTCCAGCTTCCTTCCTTCAGATGCCATATAAAAAACATTATATCCTTGTAGACTAGGCTTTTTGCCCTTTAAGGGCTTCATGTACCTGGTGCCTTCTCTAATATGGCACTTACAAAATAGCATTTTAATGACTTGTTTGTCTTCCATGGTGGACCATGAGCTCCTTAAAAACCGGGAACAACATGTCTTGTTCGAGAGTTGTATTATTTGTGTTAGCATAGTAACAGTCAACATATGGTGGTTCAAACACGATGAAAGTGTTTCCCTCCCTTATAAAAGTTTACATAAATAGGTGGCTCAGTGGTGTTGGGGACCAGGAGGTTTATGTTCCTTTGATCTTATTGTTCTGTCACTTTCAACATAAAGCTCTCATCTCAAACTCCAACATGCCTTCTCCAATTCTTCCCATTGTATTCACATTCCAGTCATTGGGAAAGAGAAACAAGAAGGGGAAGGCATGTTCCTTTCTTTTAAGAACATGGCTAGAAGGTACATATTACACTTAAATCCCAGTGGCAGAACTCAGTGTTCAGCCATATCTAGCTGCAAGGAAGCCTGAGAAATATAGTCTTTAGTGGCATATGCACAGGTTAAAATTCTATTACCATGACCAGTGGACAGAATAGATACTAGATGCAACTAGCAGCCCTCCCATACCCCTGTTACTGCATCACAGAAGCTGACTCGTAGAATTGGCTTGTGTGAGCATAGAGAAAGGTGGGAGGATAAACACCAAGCTTTGGAGATTGGTGGTCTCATGTGGGAGGAAACGGAAGGGCCACGGAGGGAGAGGTGATAAATATTTGTCAGATAAATGGATGATAATAAATGTATAAATTATAGGTGACAAGTGTGAGGAGGTTGGTTCCTTTTGCTCCCGTTGCCACCATCGCTTGTTTCCTTGGCTTTGGCTTCATGGAGAAAGCGCTATTTATACTAGACTCAAAAGATGGCTGAGGTGCCTGGGTGGCTCGTTTGGTTGAGCGCCCAGCTCTTGGTTCTGGATCAGGTCATGATCTCATCGTTTCATAGTTTCAAGCCTTGTGTCGGGCTCTGTGCTGGCAGTGCCTGCTTGGGATTCTCTCTTTCTCCATCTCTCTCTGCCTCTCCCCAACTCTCACTGTATCTCTCAAAAGGTAAATAATTTAACCCACTTATCTATATGTATCTGTATTTATTTTTTTTAAGTGGCTTAAAATATAAATAGGAAAGATGGCTAACTTCTAGAAATCCTTTATTCTGGTATCTTTTTGCTTAATTCTCAGAATTTTCCAGGTGGGTAAGCATATCAACCTACAAATAATGATATTGTAGTCTCTTTTCCAATATTTATATCTGTTTTTGAAAATATCATTACATTGACGAAACAATCATAAATACTCATGATGATCAATAGTTGTCCCTTGTGTTATTACTTTTTTTTACTATGAGGGCCCCTCTTGCTTCACTATTGGGAATAAGACTAGCTAGTGCTTTGAGGTATATAATTTTTCATTAGGTTACTAAAATATCCCTCTGTGTATTTATCAAGTTTAAATAAGAGTTTATGACATAGTAAGAGTTTTTTTAAATTGTAATAGGTGTTTGAATGTAATTTTCTTCATGTATTTTCAAAGATGTTTTCTTGTCTGTTCACAGTCCAGTAGCACATCATCATCATATGTGTTTGTTAGACAATAATAAATTCACTGTAGTGTACCATAAAGTTAAGCCCCAGATATACAAGGAAACATAAAATTCAGGTCTTTTCCATCAAGAGGCTTGTGATTTACTTACTAGCAGAGACATGGCTTAAAAAAGATTGATTATAGGGGCACCTGGGTGGCTCAGTCAGTTGAGCGACTGACTTCGGCTCAGGCATGATCTCACAGTTTGTGAGTTCAAGCCCTGCATTGGGCTCCATGCTGACAGCTCAGAGCCTGGAGCCTGCTTCTGATTCTGTGTCTCCCTCCCTCTCTCTGCCCCTCCCTCACTCATGCTCTGTCTCTCTCTGTCTCAGAAATAAATAAATATTAAAAAAAAATCTAAAAATGATTATTATAGGAGGTAGCATATCCTATGAGTGGCACACAGATTAACATTTCAAAAATATCACTTCCATCTTGTTCCTTTCCAATTAAGAAAAATTCATTAGATTTTTATGGCTTACTGCATAAAGTTCCAAATTTTTCACCACCTTCAGTCAAACACTAAGTCTTGCCAATTTTATTTCCTTGTCATTTCTGTAACATGCTTCATCTTGCCCATCCCTACCTATACTACTCTAAGGTCTTCATGAAAAAGTGTCCAAAATGGCTTCCCTGTCTTGAGCCTTGAAAATCTGTCCAACACAAATCAAGGCACTAAATGTGGATCACAGTTACATAATTTTTTTTAAAGTATACTTATTTCTTAATCTTTTTAAAAAAAATCATTATTTTTATTTATTTTTTGAGAGACTGTGCATGCACACAAGCAGGGGAGGGGCAGGGGTAGAGAGAGAGAGAGAGAGGGAGGGAGGGAGAGAACGAGAGAATCTTAGGCAGGCTCCACGCCCAGTGCAGAGCCTGATGCAGGGCTCAGTTTCATGACCTCGAGATCATGACCTGAGCTGAAATCAAGAGTTGGTTGTTTAACCACTTGAGCCACCCAGGTGCCCTTTATTTCTTAATATTTAAATCTTTTTCTTAGAGTATATGACCTGTAGAAGGTCATAAGGGTACAAATTCAATAAACCATAAGAGTAAAATTCAGTAATTTATAATAAATGTAATAAAAACTCTGTGTTGTCACTACCACTAGCAGGAAATTGAATATTACCAACACCTCAAAAGGTCCCCCTGTAACCCTTACAAATTACTACCCCACCCTTCTCCCCAAAGGTAACCATCATTCTCATTTGTAATCCCACAGATTTGTTTTGCCTGTTTTAGAACTTTATATAAAAGGAATCAACGTATGTAGTCTTTTATATTTGATTTCTTTTGCTCAAAATTACATTGCTGTCTGTACTTCATTTCCAGTATACAAAGATGCCACATTATTTTTTTTATTCTTCAGTTGCTGGACATTTGGATTATTTACATTCCTTCACAATTATAAATAATGCTGCTATGAACATTGCTGTACTTGTTTTTTGGTTCACATATATATGAATTTCTATCCTATATACCTAGAAGTATAATTGCTAAATTATAGAATATGTAGGTTTTCACCTTTATTAGTTAGTACCAAAAAGATTCCCAAGGGGGTTGCAAGAATGTATACTCCTTGCCCTGACTTGGTATTTTTTCAGTCTTCTTTTTTTTTTTTTTAATCTTTTAGTTTGAGATAAATTTTGAAATAAATTTATACTTACAGGGAAATTATAAAAATAGAACAGAGAGCTCAACCAGCTTCCTCCAATGCTAGCATCTTACATAATGATAGTACAATGATCAAAACAAAGACACTGACATTGCTGAACCCTGATACAGATGCTATTTGGATCTCACTGGTCTTTCCACCAACATCCTTTTTTCTGTTCCAGGATCGAATCCCGGATTGTACATAACACTTGTGTCTCCCTAGTCTCCTTCAATCTGTGATTGCTCCTCAATTTTCCCTGTTCCTTCCTTTACCTTGTTATTAGTACTAGGATACTAGTCAGGTAGTTTATAGAATGATTCTCAATTTAGTTTTACTGATACTTTCTCATGGTTAGAATGAGGCCATATCTTTGGAGGAAGAATGTCACTGAGGTATGTGCACTTCTCAGATCATATCAGGAAGCACACACATCCTATGATGTTAATCTTGATCCCTTGAGAAGGGTGATGTCTACTAGATTTCTCTCTTTCACTTTCTAATCAACAGTATTTGGACACTTTGATACTTAATGCAAATATGCCATTTCCTCTTAAACCTTTGTTCATTCATTTTAGCTTCCACTGGTTGTTCCTACTGGCAGCTTTTATTACTGTGATGTTCTAATGGAGATTTCCCATTTTCCTTATTACCTATACACTTATTAATTGGAATTCTCTTGCAGAAAAAAGTTTTCCCTTCTTCTCCACTTATTTACTTATTTATTTATATCAGTATTGACTCATGGATATTTATTCTATTCTTTGACTTAAAATTCAATTTTTTCATTATTTATTTTCATTCTCAAATTGTTCTGTATTTAGCCATTGGGTATTCTTTTCAGGTTGACTTCTGTGATTTTTTTCAGGGTGGAATTTGAGTATAATTTATTATTTACAGCAGAATTTTAAACATATAAATAACCATGAACTTTGGCAAAATATTTTCTAAAATCAGTCCTCACGTTAGTTGCTTCATAAACTTATTTTTTTTAATTGTGGTAAAAAATGCATAACATAGAATTTACCATTGTAACTATTTTAAGCACATAGTTTGGTAGCATTAAGTGTGTTCACATTGTTGTGCGACCATCACCATCATCCATCTTTATAACTGTTTCATCTTCTGAAACTGAAACTACAAACATATTAAGCAATAACTTCCATCTTCTCCTCCTTTCAGCCTCTGGAACCCATCATTCTACTTTATGAATTTGACTACTCTAGGTACTTTATATAAGGGAAATCATACAGTATTTGTCCTTTTGTGTCTGGCTGGGTTCACTTAGCATGATTTTCTCAGGGTTCATCCATGTTGTAGTGTGTGTTGAAATGTCTTTCCTTTATAAGGTTAACTAATATTCTGTTTTAGTATATACCACATTGTGTTTATTTCTGTGCCTATTTATTTATTTATTTATTTATTTATTTATTTATTTTTAGGAGCTTTGGCATCACAAGATGCTCTAGACCCATCTCACGTATTCCAGCACTAGAACCAACTTCTCCAAAGAGCTGTCTTTTTGTTGAAGGATGGTGTTTAGAAACCAAATGATTGTGGCCATTATAACTGGGATATCACTGCTTCTAGGCTCTATCAGTGGACGGAGTAGGAAATGTATGTATGTTTACTAATCCATTTATCCATACATGTCTGCATTTATTTCTGTACCTGTCTAACTGTATATATAATTAAAAACAAAACAGCACATGAGTTCATACTGATACTTTCAATTCCAATCCAGCTTATTTATAACTATTTGTGCTTATTTATAACTTTCTTTGCCAGCGAGAAACCTGGCTTGCTTTATCTACAAGAGACTTATTTATCCCAAATCAGTATGCATGATTCAAATAGTTTAAGTAGTTTCACTAATACCCCAGAGAAGTAAGTTTACCAACTAGAGTACAGTGTGTGTGTGTGTATGTTTTAATGTTTATTTATTTTTGAGAGAGAGACAGACAAAGAGACAGAGCACGAGGGTGGGGAGGGGTAAAGAGAGAAGGAGACACAGAATCCAAAGCAGTCTCCAGGCTTTGAGCTACCGCACAGAGCCTGATGCAGGGCTCAAGCTCACAGACCGTGAGATCATGACATAAGTCGAAGTTGGACACTTAACCAGCTGAGCCCCCAGGCGCCCTGAGCACAGTGTTTTGGAAATTTTTTGATTACCCTTACAATATCCAGTTAAAACACTGTTTTCCAAAGCTCCTTAGGTCAGTTCCTTTCTTACTCAACCTTTCAACGTGGTTACTCGTGTATAACGCAATTAGATTAATTTGTAATGCAATTAGAATCACTTGCCAAAATGTTGCATTTTATCTTGAATTGCCCTCCCACATTCTATTTCTGATTTACATAGAGTAGGATTCATTAATTTTGGTGGATTGTTCTGTAGGTTTTTAAAAAGTGCAAAGAGTCATGTACCTATCAGCTCAGCAATGGAAAGAACAGTTCCATCACCTTAAAAATGCCCTTGTGCTATGTCACTTTGTACTTAACCCCCCTAACTCCTGGCAACCACTTATCCTAACAGTGCCTATAGATTGCCTTTTCTAGAATGTCATTTAAATGGAATCATACAAAATGTAACCTTTTAGGTCTGACTTCTTTCAGTTAGCAAATTCTGTTTAGGATCCACTGAATCAATCATTTATTCCTTTTATTGTTGAGTAGTGTTCCATTTCATCCACTCACTGATTGAAGGATATCTGGGCTGTTTCCAGTTATTGGTTATTATTAATAAGACTTCTGTAAATGTGTGTATACACATTTTGTGTAAAGAAAGGCTTTCGGTTCACTCGAGTAAATACGTAAGAGTGGAGTTACTGTGGCACGTGGGGCACATATTTAAGTTTATAAGAAATAGCCAAACCGTTTTCAGTGCAGCTGTAACATTGGCATTTTTTGCCAGCAATAGGTGGCAAGACTTTGCCAGCACTTGTCATTTACAATGTGTTTATTTTAACCCTTCTAATAGGTGTGCAGGGCATATCATTACGGTTTTCATTTGCCTTTCCCTACAACTAAAAATACTGTGCATCTTTACATATGCTTATATTTCTCTTTGGTAAAGTGTCAAATCTTTCACCCATTTTTTAAAAATTGAATACATTTAGGCAACTTTATTTTTATTTTATTTTATTTTATTTTATTTTATTTTATTTTATTTTATTTTAGAGAGAGCGAGCGAGCATGCAAGTAGAGAAGAGGGGCAAAGGGGAGAGACAGAGAGAGAGAGAGAGAGAGAGAGAAGAGAAGAGAAGAATCCCAACCAGGCTCCATGCTCAGTGCAGAGCCCCCATTGTGGGGCTTGATTCCAGGACCCTAGAATCATAACCTGAGCCAAAATCAAGAGTGGATGCTCAACTGACTGAGCCACTCAGGCACCCCTAGGCTACTTTTATTAAAATGAAAACAAACAGGGGCGCCTGGGTGGCGCAGTCGGTTGAGCGTCCGACTTCAGCCAGGTCACGATCTCGCGGTCCGTGGGTTCGAGCCCCGCGTCGGGCTCTGGGCTGATGGCTCAGAGCCTGGAGCTTGTTTCCGATTCTGTGTCTCCCTCTCTCTCTGCCCCTCCCCCGTTCATGCTCTGTCTCTCTCTGTCCCAAAAATAAAATAAAAAAAAAAAAAAATGAAAACAAACAAAAAAAAGGCTTTCTAAGTACCAGGCACTTTGCAATACATTAGTTAATTGGGAATGGGGATAGGATACAGAAATGAATTCAGAGGCATGGTATCTACCTTCAAGGAACCAATTGTCTAATGAGGGAGGCACTATATAAAGAAATCACTGTAATTATAAGCACAAGAAGGTTTTGATTGCTACCACCTAGTTCCCAGGAACTAGGACCTATGACAGGGACTTAATATATACAGATGCTGATATATATGCACAAAGTCTAATTTTTACAACATTTTAAGGTAGTTACTACTATTCCCATTTTGCAGAAGAAAAAAGTGAGGTCATCGATTTTAAACTCTCTAAGGTCACATAGCTAGATTGATGAGAACATGCTATCCGTTATATCTTGTTAGGTTTCTTGTGAGGCTTAGGAACATTTCTGTTGGAAAGTTTATTTAAAAGAAATAAATATTTCTTTTTTTAAAGTGAAGTATAATTGACCTACAATATCCTATTAGTTTCAGGTTTAGATCATACTCATTCAATATTTTTCTGCATTATGAAATGATCCCCATGATAAATTTAGTTACTATCTGTTACCTTACAAAGCTATTACAATATTATAACTATATTCTTTACGGTGTAGATTATATCCCATGACTTATTTATTTTGTAAGTGGAAGTTTGTACCTCTTAATCCCCTGCACATATATTACTTGCCCTTCCAATCCCCTTCCCTTCTGGTAACCAGTGGTATCCATGTTTGTGTATCTGTGAGTCTATTTCTGTTTTGTTTTGTTTGTTCCTTAGTTTTTTAGATTCCACATATAAGTGATGTCATATAGTATTTCTCTTTCTCTGATTTATTTCACTTAGCGTAATACCTTCTAGGTCCATCCTTGTTATCACAAATGGCAAGATTTCATTCTTTTTCATGGCTAATATTTCATTATCTATATATTCACATTTTCTTTATCCATTTATCTATTAGTGGACACTTTCTCTTGCCCATTTTTATTGGGTTGTTTATATTCTTATTATTGAATTTTGAGAGTTCCTTATATATTCTGGATATAAGTCCTCTACCAGATATGTGATTTGCAAATGTTACTACAAGTCCTTAGGTTGTCTTCTTATTCTTTTTTTTAAATTTTTTTTTTCAACGTTTATTTATTTTTGAGACAGAGAGAGACAGAGCATGAACAGGGGAGGGGCAGAGACAGAGGGAGACACAGAATCTGAAACAGGCTGCAGGCTCTGAGCGGTCAGCACAGAGCCCGACGCGGAGCTCGAACTCACGGGCCGTGAGATCATGACCTGAGCCGAAGTCGGACGCTTAACCGACCAAGCCACCCAGGCGCCCCATCTTATTCTTTTAACAGTGCCTTTTGCAGGGCAGAGTTTTTAATTTTTATAAAATCCAATTTATCAACTTTTTAATTTTATGGATTATACTTTTGGTGTCCTATCCAAAAAATCTTTGCCAAATCAATAAAATTAATGGTTGGTTCTTTGAAAAGATCAATAAAATTGATAATCTTCTAACCAAATAGAACAGGAGATAAAAAGAGAAGATACAAGTTACCAGTATAAAAAAAAAAATGAGAGGGTATCATTACCAATCCTATTGAAAGGATAATAATATTATGAACAATTATATACTAATAAATTTGTCAACTTAAATGAAATACACAAATTTTTTCAAAGATATAAACTATCAAAGCTACTTGAACAAGAAATAGAGAACACAATTAGACATATATCTATTAAAGAAATTAAATTTGTACTTTAATACTTTCTCACAAAGAGAATTCTAGGCCTAGATGGTAAGTTTTACCAAAGGTTTAACTAAGAAATAATAACACTTCTATACAATTACTTCCAAAAATCGAAGAGGAGGGAACTCTTCCCAACTCAATTTATGAGGCTAAAATTACCGTGATCCTAAAACCAGACAAAAATATTATAAGAAAGTAAAACTACAGGCCAATATCCCTAACACAGATGCAAAAATTCTTAATGAAATTTTAACAAATTGCATCCAGCAATATATTAAAAATCACAACACACTCTGACCACTGGGGTTTATTCCAAGAATGCAAGGTTGGATCAATATTTAAAATCCAATCAATGTAATTCATTATGTGAGCAGAATAAAAAAGAAATGTGATTATCTCAACAGAACAAGCTGACAGACTCCAACAACTATTCAATTTAATAGTTCTATTTAATATAACGCTAGAAAAATAAAAAGCATGACAGTTGGAAAGAGAAAAAAGTAAAACGGTCTTTATTCATAGGTGACATGTTTGTCTATATAGAAAATTCTAAACAATCTATAATGAAAGAACTGAAAGAACTAATTAGTGAGAATATCCCATTTGCAAGATAAAAAAATCAACTTAGGGGCGCCTGGGTGGCTTGGTCGGTTAAGCATCTGACTTTGGCTCAGGTCATGATCTCATGGTCCGTGAGTTCGAGCCCCATGTCGGGCTCTGTGCTGACAGCTCAGAGCCTGGAGCCTGTTTCAGATTCTGTGTCTCCCTCTCTCTCTGCCCCTCCCCCATTCATGCTCTGTCTCTCTCTGTCTCAAAAATAAATAAGCACTAAAAAATAAAACTAAGAGAAAAAAATCAACTTAAAAATGAATCATATTTTCCTGTATGAGCAGTGAATGACAAGTAATTTACATTTATGAGATAATACCATTTATATGACATCAAAAATATAAAATACTTATTTTTGACCTGTTAAAAACTTTTTGTTAAAAAACTTTTTAGTGTTAAAGATTACAACACACTTCTGAGAGAAATTAAAGAAAATCTAAATGAATGGAAGTAATCAACCATAATACTGGATTAGAGTCAGTATTCTTAAAATGTCAGTTCTCCCCTCATCTACAGATTAAACACAACTCCAGTCAAAATCTCCACAAGCTTTTTTGTAGGAATTGACAAACTGATTCTAAATTTACACAGGTGTGAAGGATCTAGTATGCAGAACAACTGTGAAAAAGAACAAAGTTGGAGACTTATACTATCTAATTTCCAAACTTATTATA